GGAGCTTGCCTCCCTTTAGCCAGGTTTGGCTATGAGAAAATCCATAGCCTTTTTATTGAAGACTAGAGGCCCAGTGCACAAAATTAATGCACAGGGGGAAGGGGTCCCCTCAGCCCAGCCTGCACCCTCTCCAATCCGGGACCCCTCGGGGGAAATCCTTCTCACAATCCTGTACCGCTGGCTCCTAACCACTCACCTGCCTGCTGGCCTGATCGCCTCTCACTGCCACCCCCCCTCCCGCCTGATTCCTCCTCACTACCCCCCCTGCTGGCTTGGTCGTCCCATGCAGCCTGCTGTTTGGTTGTCCATTGGTTGTTTTCGGTCGTGACGGCCCCTGGTTTTTTATATATTAGGATGAGTGGCTTTATTTATAAAGATTTTGATGGCCTCCTGGGTGGGGAAGCCAGAGGATCAAAGAGCATCTGGGTAACCGTGTGAGAGGCAGTGAGAGGCGAGGCTCCCTGTAGGTGTCCAATGAGTCAAGCCTTTGCTGAGTGTAGTACACAGCAGCCATCCTGCCCAGCCTGGCGTGAGGATGCAGGAATGAAACCCCACTGCCTTGCTCCCCAAAAGCTTCCTTTGCCTCGTCATTAAGTTCTGAAATTCCATCGCCGTTGGAGAAAGATAGAGGTTCTCTGGCCTGCGCTCCTCTCTGCTCTTCTCTTACGGGTGGGGTGACAAGGGCAAAGTGGGGGCAGGGTTTCGAACTAACTGGCAGGAGAAGTGTGCCAGGGAGACTGCCAGGGGAGCGGAGAGTTGATTCTAATCCCATGCTCCCCCTTCACCTGCTGCCAGGACTCTGCCTGGGGACCTCCGCTCTAGAGATAACCCTGTTAGCTTGTACCCGCACTCTGGGCTCACAGACACGTCTGCTTTAGGACACTTGTGCTTCAGTGAGGAGCCGAGCCTCAAGTTCATTATTGGCTTGTCCACCCTGAGGATGTGCGTTGGTGTATTAAAGGTGGGGAGAGTGTGAGAGGCTGAGCTGCTAGGAGGGAGGCCTCGGACATCTGTTGTCACGGCTGTTGGAGAGTATTTGACCAGGGACTTTTATGTGATTGGTCCTTTATCATTCAACATAAATGTACTAAGAATCTGCTGAGAACTTGCCTCTGCGGGATGGATCGGGGAGCACATTGTCTAGTTGTAGAATCAGACATGGCCATAAGCATGGCGCATGCGGGAACTCTTCTGGCAGAGTGTGGCCGGGGATGTGAAACTTTCTGTCCTCCCCCATGGTAATTTAAAAGCTGAAAGAATAGTCTATTTGATGTTTAAACAACTCTATTGAAAGATGCCCACCATCCCTTAACCACTACAGACCCCGCTCGCATCTTTCTAGGGCAGTGATGGCGAACCTTTTGAGCTCGGCGTGTCAGCATTTTGAAAAACCCTAACTTAACTTTGGTGCTGTGTCACATATAGAAATTTTTTGATATTTGCAACCATAGTAAAACAAAGATTTATATTTTTGATATTTATTTTATATATTTAAATGCCATTTAACAAAGAAAAATCAACCAAAAAAATGAGTTGTTCGTGTGCCACCTCTGACACGCGTGTCATAGGTTCGCCATCACTGTTCTAGGGCCTCTTCCCAGCCAGTTTTGGTTGTGACTTGTCAAGTGTGCCTATGGTCCTATAGCCTGGCTCTTTCCCAATCCTTTAAAAAACAACAGCTTTGCCATAGATGGTTTGGCTCAGTGGATGGAATGTTGGCCTCGGATTGAAGGGTTCTGGGTTTGATTCCGGTCAAGGGCATGTGCCTCAGTTACAGGCTCAATCCCTGGTCCGTCAAGGCTTATGTGACAGGCAGCCAATCGATGTTTCTCTCTCTCTCTCTCTCTCTCTCTCTCTCTCTCTCTCTCTCTCTCATCCCCTCCCTTCCACTTTCTAAAAATCAATGTAAAACTATCCTTGGGTGAGGATTAACAAAATAAAATTAAAAAATAACAGGCTTATTATATAATTCCCTCTTAAAGTATACAGTTCATTCGTTTTTAGAATATTCAGAGTTGCGTAACCATCCCCACAATATTATAACAACTTCATCATCCCCCAAAAGAAACCTTGTACCTATTAACGATCACTGCCCATCCCCACCCTCAATCCCCACTCCTGCTCTTGCCAATCACTAATCTATGTTCTTTCTTTCTGGATTTACCTATTCTGGACATTTATATAAAATGGAATCATACAGTCTGTGGCCTTCTGTGTCTGTGAATGTTTTCCAGGTTCGTCCATGTAGCATGTGTCAGTACGTCGTTCCCTTTTATTGCCAAAAATTTCTACAGCCCATTGTACTCTGAACTACTAGTAAACTTCACGTCCCAGGATTAACTGTCTTTTAAAAGATGCCATTTATAGTGTAGGGAAGGCGTAACCTCTAGTCCTTGCCTTCTCTTCCCTTATGCCAAAGTTGCCTGAGATGGTCCACTTTTAAAAATTGTGGTAAAATGTACATAGCATAAAATTTACCACCTTCACCGTGTTCCAGTGTACAGGTTGGTAGTGTTAAGTGTATTCACATTGTTGTGCACCCATCTGCACAACTCTTTGTCTTGCAGACCTGGAATTCTGTACCCAGGAAATAACAATCCCCTTCCCCCAGCATCCACACCCACCCTCTACTTTCTCTCTGAATCTGACGGCCTTCATGCCTCACATAAGTGGAATCCTACAGTGTCTAAGGCAGCCTGTTTCTAAATGAGGTGGAACTAGGCGAGGTGGACTTGTGAGAGCGCCCCTGGAATTTCTCTCCTGGGCCTTGAGCATCCTTCGTGTCTGCGCTTCCCCGTGAAGCCGTGGAGCAGGCTGGGCTCTAGCCCTGGTGGGGCTTCCCAAGGAAATGCCACCCGCCCAGGGTGAGGGGCCCTGTCTGAAATGACAGCACAGGTCCTATGAAAAAACGTCTCGTGAGGAGCTAAGAAGGAAGTGAACCGCCGCTCGTCTTCCGTAGGAGAAATCGCAGATACAGAAGGATCTCTGGAGGATTGAGGACGTCACCGCAGGCCTGAGTGCGAACAAGGAGAACTTCAGAATCCTGGTGGAGTCGGTCAAAAACCCTGGTGAGTGGGCCGTCTCCTGGGGGCCAGTGCCCAGGCAGGTGGGGTGGTCCCCGGGGTGTCAGGTCCTCCTGTGTGTCACTCCTCCGGGAAGTAGGTCTTGGTTCCATCCTATCCTTTGCTTCCCTCTGTGCCCCTTAGAGAGAAAAACAGTGCCTTTGTTTCCTCACCCGCCTGTGCCTTCACTCTCGACTTCTGAGAGCAAGCCGCCCCCGCAGCCCAGCCCTCCCACCAGCCCTGTGCGGACCCCTCTGGAGGTTCGGCTCTTCCCTCAGCTGCAAACCTACCTGCCCTACCGACCTCACCCGCCCCAGCTGAGGAAGGTGACGTCTCCTCTTCAGTCACCAACCAAGACGAAGCCCAAAGGTGTAAGTATGATGACCAGGACCAGGAGCTGAGCACCGTCTTTTCCTCTCTGTTCTCAGGTCAGCTTCTCTTGGGAGAGAAGTTTTTAGGGAAACGGGGGGAGATAGGACCAGCCTAAGTCCTGAGCCATGAGAGGTTAAGGAGTGGAAGGGCCCTGCCATTGGACCTCAGACTCCCAGAATTAGAAGGTGCCCTTGGATATAAGCTAGCCCAACCCTCCCATTTTGCAGCTGGGAAAACTGAGGCCCAGCAAGAGGAAGTGACTGTGCTGAGTGGTAGAATCTGTGATCTGCACCGTGCAGATAGGGGTGTGGCTGCTCCTTGCAAATCTGCAGTTACACACGTTCGTGGGCAGTGAGCTCATCTCAGCAGAAGAGGCTCCCTTATCTTCACCTACAGGTGAGCATGCTGCTGGGTAGTAGGTACAGTTGAGCCTCAAAATAGCCTCAGAGTACAGACAGGAAGGTCAGTATCCCCATGCCACAGATAAGAGAACTAAGGCCCAAAGGTGTTAAATTTGCTTAAAGTCTCATTGTTGGTTAGTAGTCAGTGCACATCTCCTGATCATTCCCTGTGCCATCTGCCATCTTATCGGACATTCGCCCCAGGTCCTCAGGTCAGGTTTGTGGCCCTGTGACTGCCTAGCCCTGCACCTTGGCTTGCCTGGCATAGAGAGAGTCCAAGCCCTTGGCAGAGTCTGGGACAACAGGAGACGTTAAGGAAACAGAACATGTGGTCGGGTACCAGGATAGCTCAAGTCTCCAAGGCCAGGCCAGCTCTGGCGGGAGAACCCAAGGGGTCTAGTCCAAGTGACTGGAGAGCCATAGCAGAGGGCACCTTGGAAGGGGGACCTCCAGGATTTTGCTTGGAGGAGCTTTGCCTGGGCACCATGTGTGCCTAGTACCCCTGACGATTGCACAGCTGTGGCTTAAACACACAAGTTCCCAATCCCGTCCTCACCATCTACCTGCCATGGCCCAAGGCCCAGAGCTGGAAGACAGGTGCCAGGACCCAGGGTCACTGTGAATTTCTTTATCTTAAGATCTCCCTCCTCATCCCAGATCTAGGGGGCCCGGAGCACCAGCCACAAACCAGGAGATAGAAATAGCAAATTAAACAGGAATGGTTGGGGAAGACGGCTGCTGACATAAGGCAGGCACCTGCCAGCCGGGACCAGCAGCAGAGGGAAAGGGTGCTAGCCTGGGAGCCAGACCAGCTGGATTCCAGCCCTTGTTCTCTCTGGGTCCTCTCTGAGCTTCCTCAGTTTCCCCTTATGCACAGCAACCAGCTCTGTCTAGACCAGGGATGGGCAAACTTTTTGACTCGAGGGCCACAATGGGTTCTTAAACTGGACCGGAGGGCCGGAACAAAAGCATGGATGGAGTGTTTGTGTGAACTAATATAAATTCAAAGTAAACATCATTACATAAAAGGGTACGGTCTTTTTTTTTTTAGTTTTATTCATTTCAAACGGGCCGGATCCAGCCCGCGGGCCGTAGTTTGCCCACGGCTGGTCTAGACACTCACAGAGGCCCATCTTCACAGCTTGGTCCTCCGTGGCTCGGGGGCAGGGCTTTTCCAGTTGGGTCAGCATCACAGCCAATGGGGGTCTTCTCTCCCCTCCTCTGGTAATGCATGTGTGTTCACCAGTTTCACCTGACCTGGTTATTGTTTGCTCTTTTTATATTTGTGAAATAATGACAACCTGAAATTGACGTAAAGCATGAATATATCACTTAACACATATTAATAAAGAGACCACCCACGTTATACCAACACCCAGACTAAGAAATAGAGCTTTGCAGCAACCAGAGCCCTCAGGCCTGTGGGCTCCTTCCCTGTGCAAGGCCCCTTCTGCCAGAGGTAGCCACTGGCTTGGCATTTGGGATCATTTCCTTGCCTTCTTTTAGTTTTGCTACCTATGTTTGCATCTCTAAATACCTTAGGTTAGCCTGTGTTTATTCTTTTGTATCTTGCATCTTTTTTCAACATTATACTTGTGTGATTCATCCCCATTATTACATGTAGCTATAGTTCTTTTATTTTTATTTGGCTTAGTTTCTTGAATTTAATGTCACTTACCTCTTTATTAGATGATCCTCTCAAGGGTACAAAATCAAACGATATGAAACAATATAGAATAAAGTGCCTCCCCCCGCCCTCTGTCTCCAGACATCCTATTGCCTTCCATCAAGGGCAATCAATGTTTTGTATTTATCATTCTGGGGAGCTTTTTAGAAATTGGTGATTCTGAGACCTTTGTCAGGGTTGGAAACCGGGATGCTCAGAGAGCCTGTGGGGAGAGCATTCACACAGTGATGAAATGTGTTGCATAAGAAGAATTCTGCTAAGCCTTTTTGAGGCAAGCTTGCAGTGCCCTTTCCCGAACTCTGCAAAATTCTGAAAAACAAAGCAAAATGAGACTAAGAAAGGGGGCGTTTAGGAGGAAGAGGTCTCAGTGGCCACTTGTCCCAGGACTAGGTGTCCATGGCAGTTGGGAGCCAGGCTGTTGATCCATAGAGAAGCCACGGCCCTCAGAGGGTCATGGGCCAGGCGGTGGCAGGCGGGGCGGAGGCGGGCGGGGGGGGTGGGTGTCAAGGAAAATAGTGACAGTCATCATCCTCAGGGAGTGGGCTGCAGGGCAGGCAGTGAGTCACCCGTTCTGACCACCTGTTCAGCCCCCAGGTCAGGAAGGAGGAAATGTTTTGTGACCGTTCACATTTCTGATAGAGAGGGCAAGAGGAGGTAGACTGTCCTTGCTCAGCTCTCCACCTGCTGAGGGGTCCTGAGACCAGGCAGGAACAGTGCGCTCAGCCTGAGCACTGTGGAGGGGGTGACATGGCTGGGGGACGGAGGGGGGGGGGAGCTGTCATAGACTTACCAGTAAGTGCAGGGTTGCCAGCCTGTTCCCCCTATGGTGCATTCCAGGCGAATAGAGACCTGAGTTCTGGATTTAGGGACGCAGTATAGGCAGCACTTTGACAAATGGAAAATGCAACTCAAAGGGAAGAACGGATTTGGAGCCAAGGTGTCACCTTGTTCATGGCTCTGCCAGGGGGAATGTTGGCACCGCTGGGCTGAAGTGGCTGTGCTCTTCAGGCCTGGGGTGTCCTGTTCCGGCCATTGGGCCACCACTGGGGTGGGGCCACCAGGCCTCCTCCCTCCAGCTCCCTCTCACTGGGCACTTTCCCTGAGCAGGAAGACGAGGCACCTCCCAGGCCCCCACTCCCTGAGCTCTACAGCCCGGAGGACCAGCCCCCGGCCGTGCCGCCTCTGCCCAGGGAGGCCACCGTCATCCGGCACACTTCCGTGCGGGGCCTCAAGCGGCAGTCGGACGAGAGGAAGCGAGATCGGGAGCAGGGGCAGTGTGTGAACGGGGACTCGAGGGTGAGCAGAGAGGACCCTGGGGCTGCCCACTGGGTGGGGAGAGGGAGGGTGGTGGTGCTGGGCAGGTATGACAGCCTCGGACTCTGCTCGCAGGTGGAGCTCCGGTCCTACGTTAGTGAGCCCGAGCTGACGACTTTCGGTGGGGACGTGGCCCAGCCTCCCCTGGGGCCCGTGGGCTCTGAGAGCAGGTACCAGACGCTGCCCAGCAGAGGTAAGTCACCCCTCTCCACGGAGGCTTCTGGGAACCCCAGCTCTGCCCATCACTGCTCCCCAACCCTCACCTGGTGCCTCGCACCCTTCTGCCTGCAGCGTTGGACCTCGGGCCCCAGCTGCCACAGGTTCTGGGCTTCGGGGAGGGCCTGTCATTCCTTTCTCGGGCCCACATCCTGGTTCTCTTTCTCTTTATTACATCTGTTCCTGGGCATAATGCTAACAGCAATTGCTATAAAGCTCGGCACTGTGTCGAGTTAAGCCCTTTATAATCATTTAGTTAATATTCATAATCTATGAGGAAAGTACTATTATTATCTCCATTTTAGAGATAAGAGAACTAGGGCTCAGAGAAATTAACTTGCTAATTAGCTAAAGTGTTGGAGCCGGATTCCAGCCCAGTGTTCTGGCTGCAGAGCGGCGGCAGCGTAGGCTGGGAGAGCGGTAACCAAGGGCCTTTAGAGGGTTATGTCCTCTTTGTCACTCTAGCACTCGGTGAATCCTTTCTTTACACGAACACACTGTCTCTTCAATCGGGTCTTCTTCTCACTGTCCTTCCCTATCCCTTCAAGATGGGATGGGAACAGACTTAGGCCCTTAGACTCACTCGTAGCTCATTTTCCCCAAAGCCAGACCCTCTTCCTCAGAAGTCCCCATACAGGGAGGCCTCCTGGAGCCCCTGAGCAGGCAGACCACGCTCCCGCCTCTGACCCTCCTGTCTGCTTCCGGAGGCGGAAGATCAGGTGCTTTTCCCCGCTTGGCCAGGTGGACGGACACATAGCTGGGCTCCGGCACGTGTGGGGTTCTGTGACTCCCACCTCACCACACTGTCTAGGCTGCTGTGGCCTGAGCTGGTCCCTGCTGAGTTGGGGCCATGGCTGCCCTTGACACTGTGCCCGGAGGCCTTGCAGCCTTCCTTCATTATGGCCTGGAGGTGTTTCTCAGTGGCCGTATTGGTGACATTGTGGGCAGGACAGTTCTTTGTTGCTTGGGATTCTCTGGACATGGTAGGACATTCATCATTGTCTTTCCCACGTGCTGTGTGCTGGTGGTGTTCTCGTCAGGGTGTGAGGACCACCCCTGATGAGAATCATTGCTCATGGAGAAAGCACAGGCTGTGGCAGCAGCCGGCCAGGGTGAGATGACTCCTCAGAGCCGTAGGACCCAGACACAGGAAGCACATGTCAGTGAGGCCCCTGCCATGTACCTTGGACAAATCTCTTAACCTCTGTGAGCCTTAGATCGGGCAGCTCTACCATGGTCAAGTGATGCTTACTGTGTAGGGCCAGTGGGACCATCTACATAGCAGTGCCCGACATAGTACGTGCTCAGTAAATGTTTGGTGCCTTCTTCTATCCCTTCATCCATTTACTCATTCAGTCAGCCAACCAGGCATTGTTGGATTTGCAGTCTAATTAGACACGTGTGTGGACACTGTCTGTGGTCAGTAACCAGTGCATATGCTGAGGGGTATTGGGAATAGTTGGTTCTGCCTCAGCATTTCAGGGGCCTGCACACAGGCAGGGTATCTGAACTGGGTCATGCAGGATGCTGAGAGTCAGCAGCAGGAAGGGGTGAAGGGTATTCCGACCCCTCCATCCTTTCCATCCTCTGCATGTGAGGGAAGACTAGGGTCATCCACAGATCTCTAGGGACACTGTCCCCCATTGGGGACAGAGGGCACCCCTGGACTGGCCCCTCATCCTCTACCTGGGGCCTTGCTCTTCCAGGCCCTGGAGAGGAAGAACAGCGGGTTGTTGGCTGAGCCCCCGTGGTCCCGTCACGGCCGTGGGAGGTGATTGGGGAGGGGCTGGTGGCCTGGCCACCCCACCACCAATACACTCCCTTTCTCTTTCCTCCCTAAGGGCTCTCGGGGTCCACATCAAGGCTCCAGCAATCGTCCACCATTGCGCCCTATGTCACCCTCCGGAGGGGTCTGAATGCCGAAAGCAGCAAGATGACCTTCCCTGTGAGTGGCCTTGAGAAGTTTCCGAGGAGCTCGCTGCTCCCTCACGCACAGAGGGACGGGCTCCACGGTGGACGGTGACTGCGACCCTGTGAGGCCTGGGATGGTCTCTGAGGTCGTCTCGGCTCCTCCTGAGCTCAGGGCCCCTGTCACCGTGTGCTCCGTGATGTCTCCCCCACAGTCCACCAAGAAGGGCATCTTTCCTGAGGACACCCCCCCTTTCTCCCCAGCCTGTCAGGCTCAAAGGAGGGAGCCCAGGAAGTCTGCACCCTGAGTTCTGAACCCTGAGTTCTGACCCCACCACGTGCCGCCTGTATGCCTGACTGGACAGGCCTGGGCCTCAGTGTCTGCATCTGCAGAATGGGCTGCTGCCCAGGAAGCCCGGGGGGCCAGGGGCGTCGTGTCGATGAGTAGGCTTAGAGACAGTGGTTCTCCACGGCCGAGAGGAGCCCAACTAGATAGAGTGTGTTTGTGTGTGAGAGAGAGACAGACGGACACAGAACGGGCATGAAGCCGCCGTGTGGCTGCCCTGTGTGTTCCCAGCCCAGCTGCCCTGTCTCTCGCCTCTTCCTCCTCAGAGACCCAAGAGTGCCTTGGAGCGTCTGTACTCAGGGGACCACCAGCGGGGCAAGATGAGTGCGGAGGAGCAGCTGGAGCGCATGAAGCGGCACCAGAAGGCCCTGGTCCGGGAGCGCAAGAGGACGCTGAGCCAAGGAGAGAGGACGAGCCTGCCCTCGTCTCGCTACCTCAGCCACCCGCTCCCTGGAGATACTGGCTCAGTATGTTAGGAGGGTCCAGGCAGGTGGGGCCGGGACAGGGAGCAGAGCTTCCCCGAGTCCCCCAAACACTAGCACGTCACACCCCTGGGAGAGTGGGCCGTTGACCTAGAGGATCCCGAGAGCACCTCCCGGGGCTGTTCTGTTTGCACGCTGGGACACGTGTGTGACCGGGTCAGAGGGTGATGGGGAAGCAGAGCTGGAGTGAGGATGTCACTGCAGGCGTCACGGAGCCTGAGGAACTGTCCAGTCAGTTCTCTGAGTGGAGCTTGACAGAGGCCTTTGTAGACGTTAGGAGTCTCAGCTGAATCAAGGACTTGGGAATAGGTACTTGGTTTGAGGATTCAAGGAGTGGAGGAGGAAGATGGTGAGACGATTTGGTGAGGAGGAGCACAAGCCCACCAGTCTCCCAAACTCCCACGCGGTTGCCCTATGGGGCAGCTGAGCGCAGGGTCACGCCCCACACCCCAGGGCTGTGGTCTCCTGCTGCTTGTGGTGCTCACAGGCCCACGGTGCCCTGAGAGAGCTGGGGACTGTGTGCTGCCCCTGGTGGTGCTTCCAGGTACTGCATCCCGCCCACAGCCGCCTTAGGTCCGATTTGGATACATCCCATTTGACTTTTTCCTGTTTGAAATCAAGTGTTTCCCTGGACCGCTAGCCTGACTGTCCTTTCCCTAATTCATTGCACAAGCTCTTCTGCTTTTCGTGTTACCGCTTGCGCATTGCCTCTCTAACCCTGCCTGATTGTGTTTACAGAAGCTTCTAATTTGCAGTGAACATTCTCTAACTGGCCTGTGCTCTTTGCTACCAGGCTTATCATAGCAGCTCTTGTCTCCATAGCCTAGCGAGCACTCCCATGTGTGACTCACCTTTCCGCTGCCCCCTTCGTGCAGGGCCTACCGATTCACAATTAATTCCCTCGTCCCAGAAGCTGCCCTGCGAGACGGAGCCACCCTGCCGCCCGAGGGCCGTGGTCACTGGCAGAGGTCTGGGCATTATGAACTTACCAAAGTCCATGTCTCACGTCTAGTCAGTAGACACGGACCTCAGAGATTGTACATTTGAATAAATTCTATCAAGTCTAAGTTGGTTTGCTTTTAATTCCTCCAGTCCCATGGCACAATTCTAATGGAAAACTTTTTTGTGTTTTTAGTACTTAATAACTTGAACAGATATTGAGCTATAGTATGTTCTGTATTTAGAGGGTCCCTGGGCAGCTGTTAGCTCAGACACCAAAGGGGGAAGTCCCAGGACACTCATCTCCTGAAAAGCTGCAAAGCCAGTAACTTTTAAACTTTATAAGCAAATGTCATGTGGGGGAACACTGACCTTTTACAAACTAATGTCTCAAGTGTAGAAAGGTTATCTAAAAATCGTAACTTGAATACCTTGTAATTTCTCTCTTAAAAAAGAAAGGGCTTGTGTAAGTCTCTGTATCGACGCCAATAAACGTGTTGCTAATAATAATGGATTGGCGTGGTTCTTCCCCAGGGCACACGGCAGAGCCTAGAGGCCTTTCTCTGTTTGTGGAAACAATCAGGCTGGGTTTAAACGAGGACTTCTCTCTCTATCTGGGCCACACGTGAGCCTGTAAAGAAATGTGCTTTTATTTCTTTTGTGAATCATTAAATTCATTTTTTCATCCCTGAAATGTCAACTGCCTAATCCTTTTCATACTGTGATTGGAAACTTAAGAGCTTAGATTGGCTTGGCACCAGTATTGAGAGCTTGTGCATGAATGGGTGGAATGTGCGGACACTGGCTATGGGTTTGGGGCTGTGGGGGCACTTGAAGCATCATCAAGGGCAATCATGACCACTGGGGCCCTGTGAGGTGGGTGGTGTGGGAGGGAGGAGATGACCTGGGATGGAGAAGCATCTGTTCAGTTTCTGCTCAAGAGAAGAGAGGCTTTGAGCCTGTTCCATCCCCTCAAAACCTGCTCAGCGTCAAAGGCGGGCCACACAGGGCTGCCTCCAAGTCACACAGTTGTGCTTGGATCTTTAAATGGCCAGTTAGATTTTCCCTCTGTGAGGAGACACTTGTAAGGTCGATACCACGGAACAGCCTTGAACATGTTGCATTTGATTTAGCATTTCAGTCTTACATGTCTTTGTTTCTTTTCTAACTTAAAGGAAACTTTTGCCCCACATAGATGCCTTGATACACAGCAGTTTATCTGCTTCACTGACCCCCAGCTGCTCCCTCTTGGGCCTCCCCAGCCCCACTGTGGGTGCTGTAGGCCCAGCACTAAAAGTGTCCTGTTGAGGATCCCCCTTACAGAGGCTCTTGGCTATTCCTCTTGCTCACCAGGGCCCCAAAGGGCTTGTTTCTTCCATTATTGCTGAGCTGGGACGTATGGCTCCTGTACCAGAATGCTCCCCCGACTCTGGGGCAGCAGGAGAGGCAAATCCCTTCTCCAGAATCCTCCCAGGTTGTGTAGGTGTCACCCTCTTGAACCTGGGGGCCTCCTGTATCCCTGGGGACCATGTGAGTCTAAAGTCATGGGTCTTGGACCTGTGCCCTGGGGATCATGTTTGAACCCTCGGGGGCCTAGAGCAGAAAGAAATTGGCAGTCTGGAGTCAGGCTATCTAAAAGGGACAGAGGCCCCGTTCTCCATTCCTCGGAGAGGTACAGCATACAGCAGGGATACCCCTGTCATAAAACGGCTGCCTCGCTTTAGAGATGAGGTTGAGTTCCAGGGTCACATAGCTCCACCCGATTGGATCACAGGTGCATCTTCCCAAGGACCCCAGGGCCTGCAAGACCATTCAGAAGGGGACCGGCTGGCTGCTGCAGCCATCAGGGAGCGACTACACTTAACCCTCTTGTTCTGTTGCCAGTGGAAGCGCGAGCAGGACTTTGACCTGCAGTTGCTGGACCGCGCCGTGCAAGGGGAGAGGAAGGAAGAGGAGGAGAATGGCTGGTTGAAAGTGCAGGCCGTGCCTGTCACTGAGTTGGACCTGGAGCCGCAAGACTATGACTTGGACATCAGCAGAGAGGTGAGGGCAGGGGCTTCCTTCATGCTGCCCCAGGAGGCACGGCCCTCAGGCTCCCAGCCTGACCTGCCCTCCTCGGGGCCCTGGGGGGTGTTGTCCTCAAGTGGGGATAAGGCTCAGCTTCAGTGTGGCCCAGGAGACAGGATGGGTAGCAGCTTGAGGCAATAAAAGGAGCCCAGTGTTTTGATGCAGATTCAAATCTCTGCAATTTGGGGCAAGTCATGTACCTGCTCTGTGCCTCGGTTTCCTCAGTGGTGAAAGTGGGTTGTGATGAGGATTAACTGATTCCATGGGCTGCCTGGAGGATCAGCAATGATCAGAAGGCCATGAGCACCAGGCCTGGCACAGCGCAGGCATGGAGTGAGGTAGTTATTGTTAGGAGATGTTCCTTGCAAAACCCAGCCTTGGCCTTGCCACTGGCCTCTAAGGACGACTTGGGCAATCAGACTTGAGAAAAATGGGCGGGTTTGAAAAACAGGTGACATTTCCAGCCAAGGCCGGAGTTATAGACCTGCATAGTTCTGGTTTGAATTCCTTTGGCGCCCTCTGGTGGCCCCAATGCATCATGACCGGCAGGCCTGGGAAACCAAGTCACCCCCGGGTGGGGATTAATTACATACAGATTCAACATGTCTCTGCCTAGAAGAGAAAGGGAATCAGAGGGTGACAGATGCAGTCCTCAAGACATAGGGTGGTCTCCTGTGACCTCCATTGTGTCATTTGTAAGCTCCTTAGGGCAGATTCTAATGGCTGGTTGGTTCACTTTTGCCCCCGAACACCGGGCCAGCACATAACCGGTACTCTGTAACTCTTTGCTGAATGAGGACTCTGTTGAATGAAACACAGTGGCCCACAGATATCCCAAAAGCATTTGTACGAGGACTAGCCAGGCCTGAAGCTGCATGAGGAAATGTGCTCACCACACGAAGGGTAGACTTAGCAGTGTGGGGGGCAAATTGACGCCCGGAGGATGAGTTCTGGGGTCAGCTGGAGCGCCAGGGGTTAATGAGTCCCCCGCCCTCAGACCTTTTGCCTCTGAAGCAGCCAAAGGTCAGTGCTTTCTCAGGTTCACAAAAGAAGCTTCTGCACGCTGCCCGGGCAGTGAAAGTTTCTGTGGTGTCCTCGTTGCCTGCCAGCCAGGGGAAAAAGTCCTTCCTTATCTCTAACCTAAATCCCTCCGCTACAATGTAATCTACTTCCTTCCTCTGGATCTGCCCTCATTGGAAGCCACAGAGAAGAGCTTATTTCTTGCCACCTTTCACCAGAAGGAAAGGGCAGCCTGGGTTTAAATTCAAGTCCAGATTTGCCCTGGGATTGGATTTAGCTTGTTTTTAGAAACTTCAACCAGCCCCACTTTTTTTTTAAATCTAAGAAGACATGTTTTTATTTATTGTTAACAACATGTATTTTACAATAGGACAAGGATACAAGGACTAAAACAGCAGGGCTCCCCCATGCAGCCCGAGCCACACCGGAAGCCTCTGAGAACCATTTAGCGCTCTGACTGCAGTTGTCACTCTCGTGTGCTGTTGTCATTCAAATCCCCCGGGGCGTGCAAAACTGGCCTTTAGCGGTCTCAGCCCCAGCGACACTGTCGAGACTATTGAAGCTGAGGCTGCTCCTGGGTTCCCGTGAAAGGCTGGTGGGCAGGGGTTGGGACGTTTTCCTCTAGAAGGAAACAGACAAGCACGGCTGCCTCCTGTCCAGCTCAGAGGAGCTTTCGTAGGGACAGAAAGCACTGTCGCCACCCAGCCATCCCTCCACCTGCACACCTGCTCACCCACCCATCTATCTACCCACCCACCCACCCACCCACCTATCCTCCCATCCACCTACCCACCCACCCATCTACCCACCCATCCACCAGCCATCCAAGGAGTATTTGCTGAGGGGTACTAAGTGCCAGGTCCTTGCTCAGACAGCAGCAGGTTGTAGCGGGCAGGGTCGGAAGGCTTCTCGAGGTGCGGGTGGAATGATGAGGCGGGGTCAGTGGAGCAAAGGAAGAGCATCCCAGGCGAGGATGGTCATTTCTGTCCTGAGGGCTTCTAGTCCAGTTGTTTTGCCTCCCCCTCCCCTCCCCTGTAGGAGGTTGTTGGGTGGAGTGGAAAGAACATGGTTTCTGGAGTCAAACCCGGCTTCCGATCCTGACTCCTCAGTAGGCTGCCATTGGGATCTTAGCAAGCCAACCTCTGTGGGCAACGCATGCTTCCTCGTGGTGAGGGACAGGGTGTGGGAGTGGGTCCTGAATGCAGATATCTGAGCGCCACCCCTTCCCCTCCGCATGGCCTCCTGGTCCTCTCCTCAGCTGTCCAAACCAGAGAAGGTCTCCATCCCTGAGCGTTACGTGGATCTGGAACCTGAGGAGCCGCCCAGCCTGGAGGAGCTGCAGGCGCGGTATCGCAAAGCTGAGAAGATCCGCAGCATCCTCACCCGGTCCAGGTCAGCCCTCCTGCTGCCCGTGTCCTGACGGCCTGCCAGGCCCCATCCCATGGGTGTCTCAGTGGAGTGGGCCTGGGCCAGGCTGGCTAGGGTGTGTGTTTCGCCAGCTTCCTCCCCATTGGAAAGGGCTGGCTGGCGCTCAGTGCGTCACCAGCACCTCATTGAGGAAGCTGGCCTAGGCCACCTGTGAAGTCCTCAGACAGAAGGCCTCTCCTGTGTCCCATGGCCCTGGCACGTGTGGGGAGCGGAGCCAAGCATGGCTGTGACTTGGACACAGTTGGGGCTCCAGCATTAGGGCCCGTGTACCCTCAGACAGACCCATAGACCAGAGCCAGGCGCCCCAGCCTTGTTCTGAGGCGCCAGACTTTCCCACTTCCCGGGACGCTAGGGCCCTAAGAAGTGCCTTCCCTGTTCCCTCAGCCTCCATAAACCTCACGTGTGCAGGCCTCCCTTTCAGAGCTCAGTTAGCCTTTGCACATCTGGATTTAGCAGGAGCCTGGAGCTGGCGCTCTGATCTTGAGGTCTGTGATTCCCCAAAGGAAGAGCAAAGCTGTGATTTTGGGGGTATTTGCGGAGAAGGACGCACACCTTTGTCTAGAGCAGTGGTTCTCAACCTGTGGGTCGCGACCCCTTTGGGGGTCGAATGACCCTTTCACAGGGGTCGCCTAAGACCATCGGAAAACACATATATAATTACATATTGTTTTTGTGATTAATCACTATGCTTTAATTATGTTCAATTTGTAACAATGAAATTGGGGGTCACCACAACATGAGCAACTGTATTAAAGGGTCGTGGCATTAGGAAGGTTATGAATCACTGGCCAAGAGAGAAAGTGCACTGTTTTTTGTTTGTTTGTTTTAAAATATATTTTTATTGATTTCAGAGAGGAAGGGAGAGGGAGAGAGAGGTAGAAACATCAGTGATGAGAGATAATCATTGATTGGCTGCCTCCTGCACGACCCCCACTGGGGATTGAGCCCACAACCTGGGCATGTGCCCTGATCAGGAATCAAACCAAGACCTCCTGGTTCAAAGGTTGAAGCTGAGCCAACCTTTCACTGAGCCACGCTGGCTGGGCAAAAGTGCACTGTTTTTATCAATGCCCCCTACAAGAATGAGAGCCGCAGGCCAGGAGACCCCCTCCCCCAGAGGCAGATGGTGGGGTGGCGAGGGCCCACCACCTGCTCTCTGGCCGTCCTACAGCATGTGCAACCTGCAGCCGGCCTCAGGCCAGGACCGGAGGAACAGCGTGGCCGACCTGGACTCACAGATACAGGAGCAGGAGCGCATCATCAACATCTCCTACGCCCTGGCCTCTGAGGCCTCCCAGCGCAGCAAGCAGGTGGCAGGTGAGGCCATGGAAACTGGGTCCTGCTCGCTGCCCCCTGGAACTCGGGGCCAGTCGGGGAGTCTCCGTGGAAAACCCGGTGTCGGGGGCCAGTGTTGTGTTCTCCTGTCCCACAAGCACCGCAGGGCGGGGAAGATGACGTGGGGCAGGCTGAGCATTGGGGGTATTGGAGCTCAGGAGTGTCAGGAAGGAGGCCCCAGCGAGGGGGTCCATTGCTCCTTCTTAAATGTGGGAGTGGCTCTGCTGTTCAGCTTTCCCAGAGACTGTGGGTTAAGAACAAGTGTTTCAGGGCCCTGAGCTTGGGGAACAAGGCTGAGGTTTCTGGCCTCATGACGAAGGGGACAGGAAAGCTGTAGGTGCTTGGACTTCTGCTGAGACTGAGGCAGAATGGGCCCTCTAGTCATCCCCAGGACCCCTGCTTTGGTCCCCAAATCAAAGCCACCATTCATCTTAGTGACCTGTGCCAGATAGCAGGACTTGGGAAGTGGGACTTTGGGGGCCAATGAGGGGAAATGGCACCATGGGATGGGAGGGTGGGTGCACACCCGTGCCTGCAAATGTGTGCGTGTGTAAAGGCTCTCTCAGCCGGAAAGGGATTCCTGGCTCCTGGTCCAGCCACCTCCCCCTTCGCTGTGCCCTCCCAGTTCACCCAGTACTTTCTCCCCACATGTGGAGGGCGGTGCCCTTGGCCTTCTGGAGAGAGGTGGTCACAGAGCCGAAGTGGTGGCACAGTCCCCACCAGTCCTCCAACCCTGGCCAAAGGGTCTGGAAGTGACCTAGGGAGGGGCCTGCAGGGCCCTGAGCTGACTGGCTCTGGGGGGTCTGGTCCGGGGAGCAGAGCCCTCATGGTGCCTTGAGAAGCCATGGGAGTGACCGAGGGCAAACAGAGGGACCAAGATCTCATGGAAGCCGTTCTCTGTCCCCACGGAAACCCTGCTGCCCTGACTCCAATCGGGGACATACTGAGTGGCTGAGAGGTGGTTGTGTGGCTTTCTGGGAGGGGAGACAGTAGGTGGTTCACCCAGACCCTCCTCCTAGTGATCCTGGGGGCTCCCTGTGACCCACCTCAGCCATTTTGATCTCCTCCCGTGTCAAGGGTCCCGGGCCGGGATACTCCCCTCCAGCCTGTGCTTGCTCTGTGGATCAACCGCCCCTCCCCGCCCCCCGCTTCCTTACCACCAGCAGGCCCCAGAGCTAACACCTGCTCACTCAGGGCCCCCTCACCTCCCTGCTGAGTGGCCGCCTTTGCCGCAGCCTTTCCTCCCTCTTGCTCCCTCTCCCCATCCCAGAGACATATCCGGATCCGCAGGTCGATCCCAGCCAGACCCATGGATGTGGCCCCCTGAGGCCAGGCCATTAATGGTGGGCCGTGAGGCCTGCGCCCCCCCAGCCCTGCCGAGTGGGGCGTCTGTGCTGCAGGAGCAGACGAGGAGCCTAACGCACCGCTTAATTCCTGTGCCCGTCTAGCGCAGCAGCTGGCCCTCCTCCCGCCTAAAGGCCCCCTGTCCTCCAGGACGGTGCCACCTTACCCCCCCTTAAGCAACGGACTTCACTACACCTTTGTCTAACACCTTCCAAGTAAGAGCCTCGCCTGGCGTGCCCCTGGCCTAGTGCTGAGCATGCCCGCTCCTCACCCCTGCTGCTGAGATGATTGCTGTGCGCTGCCCATGCTTCCTTCCTTTGGCAAAGCGGCCGCTGGGGAGGCCGCCCTGGACGGGTAGGCAAGGGGGGGACTGATGGTTTGGGGAAACTCCATCCTCAGTGGCTCCGATACAATAGAGACTGTAAGATCCAGGGCCCTGGCGCTTAGAAATCTCAAGAGCTAAACCGCAGGCCGGAGAATGCCCCACAGGCCCAGTGCAGGCCGCTGGGCTGGCCGGAGGCGGGGGGAGGCTGGGAAGGAAGAGTTAGATTGGCCCGCGCTGGGCTTTGGCCAAAGAAGTCGAAGAACTGGAGGATGGAAAAGTCCAGTTTACAGATGAGGAAACTGAGGCCCAGGGAACGGATGAGGGCTCCCTCCAGGCCACACAGAACTGACGTCTGAGCCAAGCCTAGCACATCCCGTGTCACGGGTGCGCCCCTTCAGTCACTTGAGCACTTTGGGATGGAGAGAAGGCAGGTCCCGGGGAGGCTGCCCAGGGCCGTGTGAAATGGGCCTCAGCCGTTCAGGGCTTTGAGTCCTCCCCATGTGAGCACTTAGTGATGAGACGCCCTGTGGGTCTAGGGAAGGGGCCCTGGACTGTGGGCGGAAGGAGCCCTGGACTGTGGGCGGAAGGAGCCCTGGACTGTGGGCGGAAGGGGCCCTGGACCGTGGGCGGAAGGAGCCCTGGACCGTGGGCGGAAGGCCCGCGTCTGGTCTTGTGAGCTGCTTCCCAGCCCAGTGGCCTCACCTGGTCACGGAGGGCTCAGAGCAAAAGTCTCGGCAGTCCTTTCCCTGCCACCCGTCTTGTAGGGCTTTCCCCTCTTTCCTTTATGTGTCCTTATGGTTAACACTGTTGAGTACCTACTATGCTCCAGGCATTGTAAGCATCTTCTTTGATCCACACAACAACCCTATGAAGGTATCCGCCCCCATTTTACAGGCTAGGAATCGCAGCTCAGGGACCTGAGGGACTTGCCCAGGGAGTCGCAGCTGTCAGTGTCAGAGCCAGAACCCCTCAGTGCGGAGGCAGAGCCTTTGCTCTCCCGCAGCTCCTGTGGGCTTCCCCAGGCCACCCCCAGGGGCTCCAGCTGTTTGGAGAAGGGTGTCTTGGGGGACAGAGAGGGTGTGCATAGGGGCGGGGCATTGCTTTCCGCAGGTGTCTGTCGGCCTGGGCCCTCCCCCAGCTTCAGAGCAGAGCCCATGAGCTTCCCCTCCCCCTGGTCTGGGGGTAGAAGGAAGAGGCAGGCAGCTCTCAGGGAAGAATGAAGACCCACCCAGGGGATGCTCAGCGGGTCCTGTGTGAAGGCCGCAGGGCCTGCTGGGCCCAGGCAGGCTGTGTGGCTTTCCTGGAGCGCTGGGTGTGGCGCCACCGCCCAGGCCGCGCACAGGCAGGGGACCCACTCTCCTCGCAGCTCCCGGTGCCCGTGGCTGTGCACGGGCCTTCCACGCTCTTGTCCGAGCGCACCCACATTTCCTGTTCCCCTCACTGAAGCCTCGGGAGGGGGGCCTATGATCACCCTGGTTTTAGATGAACTATTAAGGCTCATGGAGGCTGAGAGCGCTACCAAGTCGCTCAGAGAAGCTAGGGCAGGGCCAGAACTGGACCCCAGAGTGGTCTGCTCAGGCCTCTTACTCTCAGAGCAGGGACCCAGTTTAGGGACCAGGATGTGTCTGGCGAACTTCCTAGAAGCGGCAGGGGTTGGGGGAGAGTGGGGCCAAGCACCCCTGAGGCCTGGAAGCCGAGGGTCCCCCCCGCCACAGCCGCCGCATTGCCTCCGCCTTCTGCTCTGCTGCTCTGCCTGTCTGTCTGTCATTCCGTGTCACGTGTGTGCGCAGACATGCCTGCTCCCCAGACGTGGGCCAGGGCCTGCCAGGTTCTCACGGTCTCCTGTGCTGTTTGCAGCCCAGGCAGCGACTGACCCGTGACCAGCGTGCGGAGGAGAGGCCTGCAGCCAGGGGTCCTGTGGAACCAGCTTGCTCCGAGAGAAGACTGAGTTTTCTTCCCCCAAGAAAACCCCTCCCAGCTGAGCAGGGGTTCTGGCTGGGGGAGGGGGCAGCCCACCAGATGGGGGTGTCCCCCACAGGGCTGGGTCCCCCACCCCCGCCTCGTGTTAGGTGACTCCTTTTGACATGACAGACGCACTTTTGATACACACTGTAAAATGCTGACACTGTATTTTAGAATCAGAATATATTTTCTAATGTTCACCTCAAGGGCTGAGTGGCCGGAAAGGCGAGGGTGCAGGAGGTGGGGGCTGCGCACGCAGATTCAGGTACTGTTGGGTGGTCGGTGTGGAGGGGGAGGAAGGCAGGGCAAAGCAGAGGCAAGTCCGACACCGATGAACTCAGGTGAAGGCTGGATCTGAGCAGGTGCTTCCAGTGGACTCTGCCGTCAGGGTCCTGGGCCTGCTCCCGGGAAAAGAGGGGCCCTGGGGCTGCAGAGCTCAGCTGTCCCCGACCTGGCCCATGACCGGCTCTGGAGTGGAGACTCCACCAGGACGGCACGTGGAGCCCAAGTCTGTGCCTTGGCCCTTGGGTTTGGTTTCGGGAAACAGTGAGTTCAAGAGCTTTGGCTCCCGGCCGCCCCCCCATGAGGTTCTCTCAGCAAAGGGCCCCTCTCAGAAAGAAAAAAGTGGTTTGCTTTCATTTAAAAAATATACTTTGAAATACAGAAAAGGTGAGAGGAAGCACCTTTTGTTGTATCGTAAGCAATAAACTCCACACTGGGTGGCATCTACCCAGCACTACTTGACTCCAGGCTAGGCTGGGGTCGGAATCCGGGACCTTTGCTGGCTGCCCCTGGAGAACCTGAGTCAGCTTTCCCAGGACTCGGTCTGGTGGCCAGAGGCCTGGCAGTGTGCCCCACCGTCCCTGCTGGCTGCCAACCAGCAGGGCACAATGGCAGGACCTTGACTTGACTTCCAGCCTCAGATGAGGAGGGGGCTGCCAAGCCAGGCATAGAGTTGGTGGCCCTTTATTTAAGTCATGAGCTCATGACATTCTGCATACAGAAAGCGCTGTTTAAAGGAAAACAAACAAACGAAAACCCCCATCCGGTGGAGCCACGCTTTAAATGAAAATTGGTCTTTGACTATGGTCAGAAAAAACGTCTTGAATATATTTAGGAGTTGCCGTCTATTTTTAACTAACTCCATATGCTGCCAGTATCGACGTCATGCCAATTGCCAAAATAAGATTTTATTTTTGCCTTTATAAAGATTTTGTTGGAAAAATGAAATGAATATTTTGCAAGAAAAAGTTAATTTAAATAAAAGTGTAATGGTTTGCAAAAAAAATGTGATGTACAGATTAAAATATTAACCTGATACACTTCCTGCTTCTCGCTGGCTGTGTTCTCACGAGGGGCCTGGGTTAGTCTTTGGAAAATCCGCACTGTCAGCTCCTGCTCCTGCTTGTGTTCACCTAAGGAAAGTTTCTCCTGCTGACAGCTCCTTGCTACTCGATGGACCTCGGAGGCCTGGGGGAAGAAGGCCTGTGCTCCTGGCCCAGCCGCTGCTCAAGGCGGCCCGCCCCCACCCCACCCCACCCGTGTGGACTCCGTGTGGGGCCGGCTTGGCAGGCAGACTGCAATCCAAGATAGCAGGAGGGACTCCACCGGCTCCCTTCCAACCCACACACCGCCCGCCCGCGCGGCCCAATGAGGTGGGTTAGTGAAGGGCCATTGCAGAGTGGATTTGTATTTAATTCCTTTTGACTTGCGATATATGCTTAAAACAGAAGGCAAGAGGCCAGTTGCGTTTAGGGACGTGTGTATTTCCAAGTTTGTTGTAATGGCAGTTTTTCTCTCTTGCCAAGAAGAGCACCTGTGGTTTAGAGTGACTTTCCAGCTACTTAAAGGGGTGGGTGCGGGGGGTGGAGCGAATACACTCCAAGGCATTCTGAACAGGGGACACTGCCCGTCTTTTAGCTACTGATCTCTCTCTGAGTTTTACAATAAAAATCCTCTCCTATTTAAGCATTTCTTGGAGATATTTCCATAACAGAGAAATGGGGTTTGCAGGAGGATTCCCCCAGGACAGCGAGCACAGGAAAAACAAAAGGTACTGGGCGCCATGCCCCCGACATGGTGAGAGCAGGTCAGGGTTTCCTTACTGTTGGTCTCACACCCAGTCCTCTGTGAGGGGGAACGTGGCCGCTCTCACTGTTCTCTCCAGCTCCTGCAGGAAGGAGGTGTAGACTTCTCTGAGAAGCATGGCCCACATTTCAACCTGCAGAGAGCATGATGAGCCCCCAACCCAGGCTGCATGCAGAGCTCACGCTGCATCCGGGGGCAGCAGGCAGCAGGCCCAGCCCCCGTGCGAGGACCCTGGCTTCCTGAGGTAAGAGGGGGCCATCTGGGGAAGTGCTGGCTGACCAGGGGCCCTCCCATGGGGGCAACCCTGGGGAAGTCCACGTGGCCAGTTTCGCTTTTTTTAAAAATATATATATAAATTTTTATTGATTTCAGAGAGGAAGGGATTGAGAGAGAAAGAAACATCAACGATGAAGGATTGGCTGCCTCCTGCACACCCCTGACTGGGGATCAAGCCCACAACCCAGGCATGTGCCCTGACCAGGAATCGAATTGTGACCTCCTGGTTTACAGGTTGATGCTCAACCACTGAGCCACACCAGCCAGGTGAGCTTGGCCTCTTTAGCGGGGACACAGCGCCCCAGCAGTTTTAATGATGCAGTTGCAGTTGACGAAGGGGGTACCTGCATCTGCTTGTTGACATCTCCTGAGTTTTAACTTCAACCCGGGCCCAGATTGAGAACCAACGAGAACATTTTAGGATCCAGTCGGAAATATGGGGGCTGGGAATGAAACCTTTTCCTGATCCCCAGTGGAGCCTCCTGACCACCTAGATTCTCCGCCTGCCCAGGCTCTGTTTCAGTGACTAGAGCTGAGGCGGGTGCACATTTGTGAGTGCACGTGAGGCGGATGCTGAAAACAAGCATCTGTTTGTTCCCGTCATTAACTCCGTGTTTGGTTGTGGGATGGAAACTGCCCCCCAGCCCCTTCCCCCTTCGCTGTCTTCCGTTAAGCTGGGTTCTGCAGAATCTTCCTAGCCGTTGTAGGTCGCAGCCAAGGCCAGGAAACCCTCTGTCCGCCCCAGGTCAGCTCAGGGTGGAAGGCGAGGAGGATGGAGTGGATGCGGAGCCTGACTCGGCCAGATGAGGGCCCATTTTGGGCTTTGAACGTTTCCCCCGATTCTGGCACAGTGCTCCACGGCAGGGCCTTTTTTGGTGGGCACCAGGGGTGGGAAAGAAGCAGCCAATTATTTGTCTAACCTACAAATCACATTTCTGAGGCATGGCGGGCAAATGCTGGGAGCCCCCTGCTTCCGATTCAGTGTCAGATGCCGGGACTCGTGAGGGACTTTGTCCACGTGAGTTTTGTGCTGTTATGAAAAGAACAAAGAGATGAAGCTGGGGGTGGGGGTGTGTGTGTCAAAAACGGCAGCCCCTCCCGGCCCAGTAAACATGCCATTGCTTGGCCGCCTCCACTCCAAAGGCGACCACTTTCATTGCTCTCCAAGCAAAGAAACCTTTCTTCAGCGCGAGTGGCGGGGTACAAAGGCAGAGCACAAAACGTGCGCACATCAGAGTCCCCGCAATTCCGTTTGAACAGGCATATTGATTGGGTCTGACCCTGTTACATTTCCCCCTATTATTTGAAAAGGTGCATCTAAGTGTAGTGAATTGAACCAGCAGAGCTGAACTTTCCATGAGAACTTCTCGGGGTATTTCTTTAGTTCAAAGCTTTTGAATTTTAAAGGGCATTTTTAATATGAGTCTGTTGAGTATTCTCTGCCGCAGCCCAACAAGGGATGTTCAGTGCAGATGAGGCTGGAGTGTGGGGGTGGACTCGCCCGCCTGGCGGAGGCCGTGGGTCGTGGTTGGGGGTGAGGACCAGCCAGGAAGGGCTGTGCTTTGGGGTGGAGGCTGAGCCCCGCTGTGGAGCCGCACACAGAAGGGTCCTCTCTGAGCTCTGGGGACAGCGTAGGGGACAGGGAAGAGGCTTCCCAGTTGAGCTCCTCGGAGGCGCTTGTGGGAAGCAGGGAAGGATTTGCTAGGGGCTCCGTGGAATGGATGAGGGTTTCGTCTTCAGGAACAAGGGGCTCCTCACTTCTCCGTGGCTCACTGTCTCACACTGTGCTTTAGAAGCTTAGAAGTGTGCTTCCCTGGCCTGGGGCTGCAACCTACAATATGAGAGCAGGAATGGGAGGCCTAGTCCCTTGGCTGAGGTCACGGAGTCAACAGGAAGCTGCCACTGTCCTCGGCCCCTGGGCTGACGTCACTAATCAGCCCCAGATGCTTTCCCGCCGAGCCCTGAGCCGCATTCCAGTCCGTAACCGATTCAGCATTTCGGACATTTCGCTGGTTGTGTGGCCCATCGCAGTGGTCCCTCTCGCCACCCTGGCCCGGGGCCCTGGAACATCCGCAAAGGCTCGTTTTCCGCACATGCAGAGGGGCTGTCCCGGCCCACCGAAGGCACACAGCCCGGGTGGACTAAGTTTCTGGCTCCTGTGGGTCCCAGTCTGTTTGCCTTCAGAGGCCTCTTGGATCTAGAAACCCCCTCCTTCTCAGACCCAGCATCTGGGTTCAGATCGCATGGTCACTGGGAGGAGCTGGGAAATTGGGTCCTGTGCTGAGAAGACCAGGGTGTAGGCATCTCGGCAAAACCCTCCCCGTGTTCTGGCCAGAGCTGCAGCCTGGAAGATGGGCCTGGGGAGGGCTTCCTCTGGGACAGAATAAGACAGCACGGCCCCTCCGGTGTCTCCTTTGCATGTCACCTTGGCTGGCACCAGGGAAAGGAGGCAGCCAGGAGGCGGAGGTGATGAGCGCGGACCCTGGAGCCAGGCTGCTGGGATCTAATTCTGGTGCCATTTTGCCAGCCCCGTGACCCTGGGAAAGTTACTTCACCTCTCCATGCCTCACCTGCAAAATAGGGATTCATATTAGCAACTACCTCGGGGAGCTGTTATGAGGGTTCAATGAGTTATTACAGAGAAAATGCTAAGCATGGCTCCTGACCCCACAGGAAGCACTAGCAAAAGTACACATATTCGCTATCATTTACCTGCTTTTAAGTTCTAATCATTGGATGCCTGCCACATTCTTCTTTATGATTGCCGTCTCCCTCAGAAGAATATAAACTTCAGAACAAGAATGTTGCTTTTTCATTATATTATCTCTAATGCTCGGAACAATGTTTGCCACGAAGAAGGCGCTAAGAAATAACTTGTTGAATGAATGAAAGGAGTCAAGGCCTGTGGGCCGGGGAGCCTTCTCGCTTCTCCAGGTGACTTTGCTGACCTCTGCTCTGCTGTTCCATGTTTTATACTCTAGCCCAGCGATTTTCAACCGGTGTGCTGCAAGAATTTTTAAAACATACGATACCTGACTATTTAGTCAGGGGCTCTGACCTCTTTTCCCTTAGATTGTCAAATAAAATTTTAAAAATGACAACAGCCAACCGGTGTGAATGAATCAAAATTATACCTATATGTTTGGTCAGAATTTCAGTCATTAGTTTATGTGTACCATGAGAGGAAAAAGGTTGAAAATCGCTGCTCGCGGCCCCTGGGAGCATCCCTATGCCTATTTCTAAGTTTCTTGAGAGTAGCTAAGAGCAGGGATTGTGGAATTCAAACCCACCCTCATGAACACTGACCGTGGGCGAATCACGGAGCCTCCCGAAGCATGAGTTCCTGCTCTGAAAAGTGGAATAACAGTATCTCCTTCCACGTGTGATCTGAGGACGAACTGAGGTCATCCTTAGGCACTGACCTGGCATGGAGCACTCACCGACCACCACTGTGCTGGTTTGCCCTCAGGTATGAACCTTATTATGAGCCCAGGGCCCCAGGGGCTTCTTCCCAGGTAAACCCCGTCTTCTTTACCTGCCTCGGCAGGATGAACAGGTTTAGGGTCTGCTGCCCTCTGCCATCTGCCTGCCATTTTAGACAGTTGCCTGCAGCAAGCGAAGCAATGGCTGTGCTTTTGAAGTTGGGGTTCGCAGGGCCGTGCCACTGCCAGGCTGCTTCCCTGAACCCTCCGGGGGCCGGAGGACAGGCGACTCCTGAGGCCTCCCCGCAGCCTGCAGCCGCCCGTGGGCCGTCAGACCCGCCTGTGCGCCCCCTTTGATGTCAGCTCCCAAACCGGAGCCCCGCGCCGGATCTGAGGCCCTGGCTTTGAAGTCGGCCTATACACGGAGGTTCAGGAGCAGAGTCGTCTGTCATGGCTCGGAGCACGGCTGGGCCTGTAAAGGCAAGCGGAGTGCCGCCAACACCTGATAAATAATTCTTTCTGGGCCCAAGGAAGAT